TCGGCCTCACATGGAATAGTGTTCTCATCTCTGGGCCGGGGCACCCCAGTGCCAGCTCCTTGCACTTGACCGCATCCAGCGCGGAGCGGTTCGAATCGTCGACGACCGAGTTCTTTCTGATCGGCTCGATACACTGTCACTGCGTAGGGATGTTGTATCCCTTTGCATTTTCTATCGAATTTACCATGGGGAGTGCTCTGAGGAATTGTTCGGATTAATTCCTGCCGCCAAATTTCACGTACGCGCATCACGTCAAAATTCACGATACCATCCTCACCATCTGGATGCTTGGCGGTCCACGACTGTGCGTTTTACTAGGATTTTTTTTCCTCGTACAACTTCTCTGTGGAATTATTTACTACCGGCGAATTTTCCGGACCGATATGACTTAGGGGCCTTCAAGAAAAGAGCTTACACCTTTCTAAAAGGTCGGCAACGCATCTGCAATTCCCCTGGTGTTGCAGTTGTTCATGGGCGGCGGTAGTCACTTACCATCAGGTAAGCCGCATGGTCGTTTGCCCCTTCTTATATAAAAGAAATTACGTACATACGTATTTTATTTCATGTCGCAACTGTCCGATGTGAAGTGTAGACTTTCTATAACGCGGCATATACAAACGTAAGAAAAGCCCTCGTATGAGTGGAGTGGTTTTCTTTACACATACACAATCACCGCCGGACTTACGCAGCCGTTTGTAAAATTAAAACAAACCGCCGCGCAACGCCCTCAAGCACCCATTTTATATGGGTTACCATAAATACATAAAGAACATGTTCCTATTCGTCCAGTTGTCTCATATATTGGTGCACCAGCCTATTACCTTGCTAAAAAATTAAACTTCCTCCTTCGAGAGAAATCTGGATTCAACCCCACTTACAGCCTAAAAAATGGCTTAGATCTCATTTCCAAAATTAAAGATATTCGTATTCCTCCTAAATCCATATTGTTATCTTTAGACGTTGATAGTCTTTTCACAAATGTCCCATCCCCTGACTGTTTGCGTATACTCGCACATCTCTTTGAAAAACGTCGTCTACATCCCGGGGAAACAAATGATCTTCTTAACTTAACCTCTCTCTGTATGAAACAAAACTATTTACGGTTGAATAACCGTTTCTATCTACAAAAAAGAAGGGTTAGCTATGGGGTCCCCTCTAAGTCCCCTTATGGCGGACATTTTCATGGATAATTTCGAAACACAACATATAGTTGTCAATCAAAATATCTTATATTACTATCGATATGTAGACGACATAATTATTTGCTGGACTGGCACAAGGAGACAACTGGATGTTTTCCTCAATAAAGTAAATAGAGTCCATGACAAAATTAAAATTAAACTTGAATTGGAACAAGATTGTTCCATTAATTTTCTCGACTTAACAATAACAAGAAAAGAATCGTCACATGTTTTCCAAATTTATTGAAAGCCAACTCACACCGACACGGTCATCCCCGCGTCATCGTGTCATCCAAGTAGCCGCTTTTTATTGTTACATTAACCGTTTGTTCACTGTCCTATTAAGTAAAGAAAATTATTTAAAAGAACTTAACATAGGTAATTTATCAAATAGCGGTCTCTAACGGTTTTTCAAAAAATCCCATTAACAATTCAATTAAAAAGAAACAAAAGCATGTTGTTCGCAACTCTCTGTACGCGGCTCAATCTCAAAGTGTTCATCGATATGTGAGCAGTTTGACCTACTTAGGCCCCATATCTGAAAAAGTAGCTAATACTCTTCGACAAAACGGCGTTTATGTGGCGTTCAAAACAAACAATTCTCTTAGAAATATCTGTAATAATAAAGATAAGTTGGATATTCATCAAAAGTCAGGTGTTTACAAACTTGTTTGTGGCGAATGCCACGCCGTTTATGTGGGTCAGACTGGTCGCAATTTCGAGACACGTTATAAAGAGCATTTAGGCGCGTACAGGATATCCCGATAAATCCCATTTTGCCAAACATCTTTTGGACACTGGACACAACCTAGCCAATGACCACTCCTTCAAAGTCTTACATACGTGTAATAAAGAGCTGCGGCTGTCTGTGCTGGAACAGTTAGAGATATTAAACAGTAATAATAGTACCGTTGCAATGCTGAATGAACAAATAAATGTTACTAACTCACCTCTCTTAAATATCTTTAAGCCTGCTCTCTAATAATAGAGAGCCTCGCAATATGGTCGTTTCTCACCCTCACGGTGATCGGCGATTAGTTGCGTGGTTGGAGGGTGGGCGTTGCGCGGCGGTTTGTTTTTAATTTATCAAACGGCTGCGTAAGTCCGGCGGTGATTGGTCGCATGTTTTATCTGCTCGCTCCTTAAGTAGAGAGCGGTTGCGTCATCGGTCTGTATAAAAGGCACTTGTTTTGGCTCGCCGCTCACTTAGCGGTTAGCCACCGTAAAGTCTGAGGTACATCACCTGAGTATGCCTCGTGTAGAGGCGAAACACGTGTCGTATTATCGTCAGTGGTGTGTCTTGCCTAGTGTAGTGGTGTTGGGAGTAGCGGTGCTGGGATTAGTGGTGACGGGGATAGTGCACGCAATTGAGGGAGGGCGGGAGGTGCTCTTCATACTAGGTAAGACACATCATTTTATTTTATAACACGGATATTTGCGAAGTAAATTTTTCTAAAGGCTTTTATATAATGGATTTCCGCAAAGTAACGCCTGATTCTATTAATTACATATATAAAATTAAATTGCTGTGTCTGTCTATATTATATATTGAAATAACTATCTGTATATATTGAAATAACCATTTTTAAAATGTTTGTCTTTCTATATGTCTGTCTGTTTGTCCGGGCTAATCTTCAGAATGGCTGTACCGATTGTGATGAAACTTTACGAACACGTAGACCGCAACACCACAGGAGGGATCTCGGTTATATTATACCCGAAAAACTTGATGATTTATTTGGAAATTAGAAAAAATTGATAAAATTGATTATTTTTATTATTTTAAACCTAAATAACGCCACATTAATACACCATAGCCAGATGAAGCCGGGGCGGGTCGCTTGTGGTTAATAAAAACAGACAGAAGACAACTATTGGTTACTACCGAGTGTGAATAAATAATTTGTAGCTACATAGTTGTTTTTTTTTTGGAGAGAATTGTATGAGATGGAATGTCTTAATTTTGCGATATTTCTTTGGAACGCTCTGTAACCTAAATGGGTTGATGGATCTTAACGTATGGGCTGTAGTTAGAATCGTTTCAGTTGTAGAAGAGACACATTGTTTGCGCTAAATGTTAATTTTTAAAACTGCATTACGAGCGCTCGCGTCCTCTCTTCCCCGCGCGCGTTCCCCCATTCACGCCCGGTCACCTGATGTGGCGATTAACGGGACTGGTTTTGCCGAGGCTTCGAGCGCCACGACAGTAGCTCGGCGCGTGGGCCATCGAATAGTATTGTTTTGCGACCGTTAGTAGGTTGCGCGGAGCCGGTGTTTTGATTTGAAAATTTGGGTTAATTGTGCGCGCCGTTTTGTATTTCCTATTGAATATTACGGTCTAGTTAGACCGCCTCGAATTGACTGTCTGTTTTGAGTCTTACGTGACAAGAGGCCTAATTTGAGTTTTGAGCTTGTATTGAGTTTGAATTATTAACTTAACCTTGATTGACATTTGATTTGATTCGACGAGTTGCTTCGTGGCATTTTGATATCGTGCTAGGGAATTTTGCCTTGTTGTTTGGAACGCTGAACTTTGAGACTCGAGAAGAGACCGCGTTCGTTCCCGTGTTTGTAATTCTGTGCTAAGTGAACCCGGAACATTGAATATTGAACTTTGACCTACTGTTCTTTACTTGTGTCGAGTGTCACTTGTTTTAATTCGATGAACGTTGATTTTGTTGAATTTGAAGTTAATTAAATGTAAAATAAAGTTGATAAACTGAAATAGTGAAATCGAAGCAGAAGGTTTCAATTGGGGATCGCACATTTGGAGATAAGCAGTGCCTGGGGATCTGCGGTCCGACTTCAACGGTTAAGTCAGGTTACATTTTACACACTACTTACATGCACCTCACTTATCACCTGACTGGTGCCCTGTGGTCGACCCTACCTCCGGAAATCGGTAAGTTTTGTTATTGCTTATTTGTCAGCCACTTTAGAACATTTATCCATAGGCCATTGGGCTCCACCCTTGGTTGCTCGAGTGTTCCGCTGATGGGCCCCGGGGTAGTCGAGCCTTGTCGGGGCAGTTGAGGGCGTGTACACATAGGATATAATACTTATCATTTCTGTAAACTTTTTTACACTGTAGGGTTTTTTAATTACTGTTTTAACCGTTGGACTTGTTAGTCGTCTTTTTGAGCACATTTTAGCACGTACTCCAGTTACCGATGGGTCTGTCGTCGTTTTACATTCACTGTACACACCACGTCTGTATACACCATTCTATTCTATTCTATTCCTGTGGAGTTTTTTGGACCATTTACACATTGCACAACCAACAGTGTATTAAAAAAGAATGATGTAGATGACATTTTTTATTATTTTAGGAAACTTGTATACTCCTTGACGTATATTTGTGTTGATTTGTATTATAAGAAATAAGGAAATCTTCTTTTGGTTCGTAAAAATTATAGTATTTAAAATTATATAAATATTATTAAACTTGGCGATGTTTTATTGTTTTTAAGGTGTATAAGGAAGATAATGTATACCTACCTTCTGTTATTTATTTATGAACTTCAGATTTATGAAGACAAATATTCAAACTACATAAATGAATTAGAATGATCGATGAAATGTTCACCTTAACGTAGCATTGTAGGATATCAATTGAAACGCTTTTAAAATTGCATTGTTGTTTGACTTATTATAACAAACTTAATGATAGGCGTTTATACTGAACGAAGTTTAAGGCAAACAAATGTTTATATCTAAAAAGTAAAATATCCACTTTTAAAGTAGTTCTGCCACAAGCCTATTTAGATTAAAGTTTTATGGTTTTATCCAGCACAGTGAAGTCTTTTTATGATTCCGCAGGTACGAAATGCTGATCGGGTACCCGCCGTTCTGCTCGGAATCTCCGCAGGAGACGTACCGCAAGGTGATGTCGTGGCGCGAGTCGCTCACCTTCCCGCCCGAGATCCCCATCAGCGAGGAGGCGCGAGAGACCATCCTGCGCTTCTGCTCAGAGCCCGACCGCAGGTCTCACTATTATTTACTTTGTTCTCTTTGCGTTTACTTTATGAGGGTTGGCAAGTGTATTTAGTCCTGAACTTGAAGACATTTTTATAACACCGCCAATTGTACAACCTTTTAACAGTGTGTATTTTTTAAGACATAGACATAAGACATGCGTTTTATTGGCCTCAATACACTCTTGCACGTGGTACATATACATTGAACTAAATGTAAAGCAAACGTGCAAGACGGGGCAAACATAAATAAACATAAATTCAGCAAGAAAATAACTTTCCGTGAGTGATGTGATGCCAAAAATGATTCCGACTCAGTATATGCTATCACAGCACAGCGCTGATTTTGAGCGGAATTCCTATAAATATTGGGTTTTGTATTGCGTCCGTGTCGTTATCGGTGCTAAATTTCCATTTGGAAATAACGAATCCACAATTCACTAAAAGTATATTATACTTACATTATCATTTTCTCTTATATTTTGTGTTTTGGTGTGTACAATAAAGAATTATCTATCTATCTATGAATTTTAGTGTTATTATAACACAATAATATTCCAATTTCAAACTCGCATGGAGCTTTCACTGTCACCACTAAGTACGGGTACTTAGTGGTGACAGTGAAAGCGCCATGGTTGGTACGGGTACCAACGATCATCGTGCTAGAGGAGGCCAGCGCTTATAATCTGTGGTGCTGTTGTATGACGCATCAACCAAATGTTTCCTCTTTCATCTCTTCAGCCCGTAAACAATCCACTTCTGTACCTGGACCCCTCCCTTTGTTAGCATCTGCTTCTCGTAACCAGTCAGTAATTTTATATCTGAAAACCACAAGATTTTAGAAAATGTTCTTAAGTCGTCTCTTACGACAGCCAAGAAACAGCCAGGATGAGGTTATGATTTCCCATTATTCATTATCGAGTCTGTTGATATTTTCATTCACTTAATGAGATTGCTGTTAATTGTATACAATATGTCACCAAAACCCTTTAGTTCCCGTTAAGTGCGTTATCAGAATTAGTATTTAAAAAAGAAAACTCAACCATAAAAAAGTTAAATTTAATTTCAATAAATATTTATTTTCGAATTGTATGTACTTACATGTGGTGTTAATAAAATAATTTAGATTAGAATGGCTGCCAAGTTATATAGTAGTTCTTTAAATTAGATAGAATAAGAATGAAAAGTTCATTATGTAATTAATTTAACAGACATTTTGTTTGTTTAATAGTCTATTAATTACATTTGACACGACGATATTTATTACGAGCTAAAAATTTAATTTTTATGATGTTTATTTTATATTACAAGCAAATTAGTTGGATATAAAAATTTGTCTTTTTACAATAACCACTATGGTGTTTTTAAAATCTGTTAATGGTATACATGGTAGATATGGTAAACTAAAATATAAAAACAGATACGTTTTTACAGTTACATATCAAAAAGTTTTGGAATTTCAAATTGACATTAACGTGCATAAATAATAATGTTAGGTGTGTATGTAAATAATAATTTGAGGTGGATATTAACACTTACACATTGTTCACATCGGGGTCAATGGTTTTTTTTTACTGATTACTATTCCATCTGATTGTAAGTGATGATGCATCTGAAGGTGGTGAAGCGTACCGACTTCACAAACGCCTGTTCACTCTTGCCTTGGATGAATCTCGTGTTTATATTTTATGGTAGGTACATGCGTAGTTATTATATAAATAATCTTTTTTATATAAAAATTACATGTCACATTGTTTGTCCGCGATGAACTCCTAAACTACTGAAGTGATTTCAATGAAATCTTGCATACTGTGTGCAGTTTGGTCCAACTTGAGAGATAGGATAGTTTTTATCCTGACAAGTGACACTGAATAATTTTTTTATTACGAATTTAAGAATTTTTATGACACAGGGTCATCGGAGAGGGCAGAACGACGTCTGCCTGGCTAGCTAGTATATACTATATAACATCATGTTGTTATTCTCAGTGTATGTGTATAATATCTATGTACGTTTGCACTACTCTCTTACTGGTAATAATTAATAAGTATGCAACTCGTAGTAACTAGTCATTGGAGGATCACACACCGACTTATCAGTGAAGTCACAAGGTTTCAACTGAAAACCAGCGCTGCCTCTGCAACATTATGCTGAGTTGCAGCATAACGCTCTATTTGATGTTATATTTTAATTATGATTTCGTTCTTAATTTTGTTTTCTTTTATTATTAATTAATGATGTGCATGTATTCCTTCCTAATTGTTTATGCGTAAGTAATCTTAGACTGGTGCCTGCATACGTTTGCTCTTTGTTTTTATATACTTTTTTAAATGTATGTAAAATGTGTGTATCAAGTAAATCGTTTTTTGTTTAAAAACTGCAATCGGATGGAAAGACCGATGTTGGCAATTTATTTCACTCCTTTGCTGTACGCAAGACGAACGATTAAAGTAACATTAAATGAAGTGTATAGTGTTGGTGGGTGCAGACTGGGCTCTCAGCGCGGCATCGAGGACGTGAAGTCGGTGGGGTTCTTCCGCGGCGTGGACTGGAGCCACGTGCGCGAGCGCCCCGCCGCCATCTCCGTGGACGTGCGCTCCATCGACGACACCTCCAATTTCGACGACTTCCCCGACGTCAAGCTCGAGATTCGTAAGTTTTCGCTCATTGATATACTGTTATCGCCTTTTTTGAGATTCCTATAAAATTATTGATAAAACGTGCTATACTTTTTCACTCAAAATGTCTCACTCTATTTCATTTCTTCACCACTTTTTTCTTAATCCATTAACAATTTTATTTAAAAGTGTCCAACGTGATACGGTTTTTTTCCACACAATCCACCTGATGGTAATGGATACTTAGTCCATAAACATCTCCATCTATCCTCGATTAAAAATCAAACTGCAGAAGCGTCGTCACCGCTAAAGACTAAGAAAGAATGATTAATTTCCAGTAAGAATGGTCTCCGGTTCTCTACACTCACCATACTTAACACAGTAGCAACATTAACTTATTATTTTACGCTGGTACACTGTATGAAAAAATATTTATAGATATCGTTTAACAAGAAATAACAAATTATAAAATAATATCCCTCGTTTTTATCAATATTATTAAATACTCATTCGATTCTTTTATTTATTGATTCTTTATTATAAACCTTATGTTAAGGGATATAAAGGACTAACTTAATGCCTTATGGCATTTACCAATCAACATTGATGAAAACACTTGAAATTTTGAACATAGGGTTTTCTAGCTCATCGGAAAGTTACTTTAAAATCAATTACTAAATTCGACCCGAACACACAGGAGAACGAGTTAATATAAACGTGATAAAATACCTGAAATCAATAAATAAGTAGTGTACAATGGATATAGACAGAACATATAGATAGAGTTAAGTGCTCTGAGGAATTGTTCAGACTAATTCCAGCCGCTCAATTTCACCATCGCACATCGCGACAAAATTTGCGATACCACCCATACCATCTGGATGATTGCCGGTTCACCACTGTGGGATTTAGAAGTTTTCGTCCTCGCACCACTTCTTTGTGGAATAGTTTACCACCAGAGATTTTTCCGAACCTATAAGAAAAGAGCTTACTCTTTTTTAAAAGGCCGGCAACGCATCTGCAATACTCTGTTGTTGCAGTTGTTCATTGTCAGCGCTAGTTTCTTACCATCAGGTAACTTGCTATTTTGCCCCCTCTGCTATAAAAAAATATGCATTTTGCAGCGGCCGCGCCGATATCGCAAGAGGGCGAGGTGGCCTACAAGGACTGGGTGTTTATCAACTACACGTTCAAGCGCTTCGAGGGACTCACGCAGCGAGGCACGCCTACAAAGAAGTGAACTGACTCCGCGGACCTTCCATAGTCCATGCTGCTGCCAAACACTCGCACCCACACACAAAATTCACAAGTACAGAAGGCTCACTCACACATCTCACTCACTCGTACCTCCATTCCATCCATCCATTACGGCCTGTGAAAGTCCGCTGCTGAACATAGGCCTCCCTCATAGATTGCCTCATGGAGGGATTTTTTAATTTTGAATTTTTGTTGGGAAGACGCTGCTGTCCATCTCCAGGTTCGTTTCCCTATGTCGTCACTACCAACAGCCACGATTTTGGGTGGTGGATATTCTTACCGCGCCTCCCACACGGTACGTACTCCAACCTCACTTAAATGTACCAGATATCCCTAGGAGTATTAACGAATAGACTCGGGCGTCACTTTGCGGTAATCCATTGTGTTAAACATGATATAACATAATAAACCACAATCTAGGTAATACATATTATTTTATTTTATTGCGCGGATTTTAGCTAGTAAATTTTTATTCATCTTTATTCTTTAATCTATAATTTTTCGTAAAACTTCGTCTTTGTGTGAGTGAGTTAAATGTGTTTCGCGTGAGCCCCTGCACTTACTTAGTTCGTGCCCCTCGTTTACCCCCCGCCGTATAAGACCAAGTTTAACGGAATAAAAGTGATGTCAGTTACGTTATAAGTTAAACTTGGTCGACTAGAATATAGAGAAACCTATTTTCTGTGGCTCTACTCACTGCTACATAATTATGCCTTTGTCACGTAAAAATTGTGTTGTCTTAATATTGTTATTTTAAAAATTGACTCCAATAAATTTCAATTTTATGTGTGCGGACATGACTACAGACTAGAATAAGTAATTAAGTGTTTGGTAATTATGATTTTAAAGTGTGACATCAACAATGTTTTCAATCCAATTGTATAGAGAAGCGAATAAAACAATATAATTGTGTATTTATGTGACTGTGTAAGATGCGACAATTGCGACAGAACCACACCATACTAACAGTCCAACATTAATTTACAATATATAACAAGTTGTAATCAACGCAGACATCCTCCTTCCGTCGCGCGTTGTTGTAGCTCTGCACTTAAACTCGGCCTCTACCACGATTTTTGCGAAATACACTAATTAACGTAGCTGTTTGTTTGTTTGTTTGTCCGAATGTAATCTCGTGCTGCCAATGAGGACATCCACAACTTTCTCTGTCACCAGGGCGGCGTTAACGCTAACAATAAAAAAACACGCGTGCAGTTCACACGTGGTAGAAGTGAAACTTTATTTATATTTTATTTAAAAAAAAATATTTTTCATTAATTTTTGTTTTTATTTGATTGACACCGAGATAATAGGAAATACTGTATACTGTACTCTATCACATTATCTCGTATATGTCTATATGTGTTATATGTCGCGACGTATATGTTTGTCTCTTATTGATGTCGCTTTTTCGTTTCATCGAGTTGTAAAAAGAACTTCACTTCAAAAAGTGCAAACAGGCACACGATGCGCCAGTGGAACTACTATAAAATTTAATCTGTCGATCGTGATACTAAAACTATATGATTTTGCAAACACTCGTGGTACAGGGAGTTTAATCAGTTAAGGTGAACTTTTCTATAGTCTAAATTAAAGAAATATTTTTCGAAGCGTGGTTACCTCTGTCTATTGCAAAGAAATTATTTACATTTGACTGCAGCGGAGATGCTATTGTTTATGTATACACACCGTATTGTAATTATTGCTAATAGTAATAAGTTAAAATAAGTTAGCTCGGGAATCGGGACGTCACCATGTGTTTGTATAGAGTCGGGCGGGCAGCTTGCTTCCTTCGAGCGCGACGCGGCCCGCGCTCTGCTTGTACCGTTTCATTATTGTAATATATGTACGTTACCTTCTTTGTCCTTTTAATTATGCTCGTTGGCGTTTGCTTTACTGAATGCAATAGTTATCGAGGGATAGGTATTTTTAATGTAAGTAATGAACGAAAAGTGTCCGCCGGGTTAGGCTTGTGTGTGTTTATAGGGCTTGTTAAAATTGTGTCAGTAATTTATACTGCAAGTGGGATGTAAACACATACCTGTGAAATGTAACACAAAACATCTGTGTCACTTTTGCTTGTTAGCTGAACTGTATTACATATTATTGTTGCTTATTCATCGATTAAAAATTTGAAGTCTCAGTTCGCAGTTCGAATGCTTATCTCAGATGTGTGTGCGCTTCGTGGATTACTGAGTGGCGCATTGCAGGTGATTATAGAATTTCACCAAGAAAAACTCTGAAAAACTGCTGTTGCTTAAAGTATTTGGTTTGATGTGTTTAAAAAGCCTGGAGTGTAACAAGCACGTTAGGATATAGCGATGCTATAACTTGTTTAAATTGAAATGGAACGTCAGAAGTGGTTGTTTCAATTTATAAGGTATTGTTACAGTGCTTTGCCAGTCCATATATATTTATGTACATAAATATCTACATATTTATATATATCTTGTATTGAACGATATTTAGCTGATTTTTAATCACTTCATATTATAGGAATCCGTCCAGAAGTTAACTTGTAACATACTGGAAGGTAATTTTTTCTCACACTCGCGTATATATCCGAAAAGGTTGCCATTTTTAAAGTGTGTTAAAATTAAAATTTTTAAATTGCATTCTTAAATATAGCTAACTGCATATTATAGAGTAAAATAATTAGTCTGACAGAAAATAGAAAGTTTGAGAAACAAGCATTTCTGATGATTTACGATTTGCAATTTAAACATCAGAGTGACAAGTTACACATTGCTTTGTCGTTTCATAAAGACTGAAATTTATTTGAATGTTTATATGATGGCGTCAAGGATCCCATATTAATTGCGTAACTTACCTAGGCTTCTTGCTCAGTCGCGAGACTCTGCAGTAGAATGTTTAATAAAGGTTGCATGGTAGTTCTTGCCGGTAGTGTAAGTACAAAGTTAGTTGTGACTAGTGTCGCTGTGAGACCGTCGGTGATCGGGAACGAGCCACATGCTCTGCTGTCTGTTACATTTACCTCCAATCTGTTCTTCTGATATAGATTATATCTGTACGAAGAGTTGTGTGAATTTATTACTTTCCTTTCCAATAAGGGTGAAATAAGTTTTCTGTGTATTTCCATAAGAGCACAATGATTTGCTCGTCTCGATGTTCAGTTCGTGATTCTTAATCGTTAGACCAACTAAGAAAGATAGACTGACTTCTTCGTACATTTCAAGCGACCTCGAAAGCAAGCCAAAGTCACGCTCAACTTATTGTAACACGCATTTATTCACATATGCACTTAATACCATGCTGTCGCTCGTAAAAAAACATCCTAAGGAGACCTGCAGATCTGAAAATTAAAAATGTTTTGAAGATATGTAAAGATTGTCAACACAATTCTGGGGCAAGCGCGGCGGACATCTCTACTGCAATCTTTTTAGAAATAGAAAAGGGTGTGTGGCCTGTATGTAGGCATTTGTAACTGTGGGATGTATGTAGGCTGTGTTTATAAAATTGAAATGACAAACAAACTTACAATCTACCTGATGGTAAGTGGCTTTTGCTGTCGATGACATGCGTTTCATACATTCAAAAGTCAATCCTGAGGACTAAGAAGGAAGAGCTTGCTGTAATTCTACCCTCTTATTGTGTTTAAATGTTATATTACGCTGATGGCGAAGAAGCAGGACCCCTCGGTAGAAAGTAATAGTGTTCTATGATTTGGTACTAAACATAAGCAGCCTTGGTGCAAATGGTTTTTCATATACCTTATTATATTTATTTCAAAAGAATTCAATATGTCGTAAATACAGTGCTACTGAATTGGGTTTCGATAGTTACTTTAGAAAGATTTTTGTAAACATATTTAAGTGTTCGTTGAATAATTTTAATATTTGGAATTCAATTTAATAGCAATATCATCTTTAAAAAAAATGGAATATCTTTTTAGCAAGCATATGGGGCCAGTGATGCGAATACAATGGGTGTTGAGCATACGCTAAATGACACATTTCATAAAATCTTGTCCAACACTCACCTTTCACCGGTTGCATTTTTACAGATAATAATAAAAAAACTGTGAGATGTAAGTAAACTACGGTGCAAATTTCATGATTTATTTTTCATTTAATGTTACGTGTAAATTAGATCTAGATGTTTACTTTGAATTATCCTTGCGTAGGTAGTGAGCACTGAGCTAATATTCTCGCGTTGGTAATGTCGTGTCGCTCCAGTAGGTTGGATTAGAGTTCGTCAATACATTTGGATCAATTTTCAATCGCTGTCAGGATTCGTATGGAAAAGACCTTGTGAAATTGTATGCGTTTTTGTCTGCCCTGCTGAAATATAATTAAATTCAACAAAGCGAAAAAAGGAAAAATATATTAATATTATTATATGTCGGATGGGCTACACTATACAACATGTAACAAAATCTGTGGTTCCTGTTAAGTGCGTTATCAGAATCTGTGTTCAAACGTATAGAAATAAAGACCTTAAAAGAATAAAATTAAACTTAAATAAATGTTCATTTGCGAATTGTATGTAGATTTAATATCTCTGCATTGGCAGGGGAGTAAGAGTTGTCAAAGACCCTCCTTTACCGATGCGCATGTCAGTTAGTTCAGACTTCAGATGTTAATAACATTTTTTACTACACTGAATTTAGTAAGTTACTTGTTGTGACCACTAAAATCCTTTTGATAACGACCAAAAAACACTGTCATAAATGCATGCTATATGTACATAAATACGTTCGTAAAAGGACCATCGGGTTGTTTGTTACATATTGTATATTCATTAGTTCATTAAATGTCACGCTGGCAGGCGTTTGACGAGCGCAGTGCGGACGTGCCGCATGTTGATCGCTGCCGCCCGTCGCTTGTTCAGTGCGAACGGCGATGCTTATACCGTCATGGAAAGCCATAACATCATTTTGACATATTCCATAGTCGTCTCTTACGTCACCCACGAGGCAGAACGTGGTGGCCGTTAAACCGCCACCATGTGTCAAACTCCGAATAATCTGAAAAGTGCAAAATATAATTATTGGTTGCGTCTTAGTGGAAATTTTTTGATCTAGAGTCTAGAACGTATGCTTGTACGTATGCTTGTCCATCCTCGATGTATATCCTAATTAACATGTGTATGTGTTTACCCTTAAGCCTATGCTAACTGTCTCACATATATAGTACAACTAACTGTATTTTTTTTTACTGTGATTCATTCTATTGCAAGATCCCTTCAATACATACCATTGTTGTATATGTAGAAAAAATTTGTTCCGTCATTGTGTGTCGACGGGCAGTTTCATGATTATCTGCTGGAACACTTTCAGTACTAATCGTGCAATTGCGCCGAGTGCTCGTTGAAATTAAAATTAAAACTCAATGTCGGTATGTTAGTTAATTACATGAAACTTCTCTGTACCGTGTATAATTTGATTCTTACATTAAGGACTAATCAGAGTTAATTTAGGTAAATTATTTAGTTTTAATAAAAAACAGCTGTAGTTGGTATGGCCGCTTTAGTGTTTAGAAGCCTTTAATGCCTATTAATATAATATTAGTGTGTACAGACAAAGTTTGGTACGAAGATTTCCCTTCACCTGAAAAACTGAGAAGACATTTGTAACGTTGTTTATGAATGTGTTCCACCTGTGGAAGATGAGCGTGCAAGTTGTCGCGTCGTGTTAAATGAAGCATGTCCTTCATATAACGCATGTTTGACGACCGAGTAGCCGTGTGCTTGGTGTTTTTAGGTTTTTCGATCTTTAGATCGTAGTTGTTGTGAATCAGGTGCGATCTGTCAGAACGTCACCATGCAGTGAGTAATGGATGCCTGCGACCAATCGGTTTGCATCTTGTGGTTTTCTCTCGAGGCTCCATTGTGTAAGTAGTTTCCTTCGATTCGTTCGATCGCTTGTGTTGCGTGGTACATTCTCGCAGATCGCATTCTTTTATATCGTACAAGGTTTTAACAAAGCAAGCTCTCAGATTGTACCGATAAAGATCACGTTTGATAGTAAGCTTAATCATGTGATCATCACCAATCGATATGATGTAAGCGATGCACTGTGGTCTCGAGAAGGCGGACAGTCTGTTACATAGTTATGTCGCTCACCGTTTTGTATACAGCACTCGTACCGCCATGTTGTTTCAAGTGTCGTATAAACATCGCGGAAGGAAGGGTAGTGGCGGCCACGGCCGCTTGTTCTCGCTTGTTGACCTTTGTACTTTGCACTGAAACGTTTGTGTCGCGCCGCCAACACACTTTGAATGTATAATATGATGCAAATTTTTAAAATTTCTTAGCTATTTGATTTGTTATTGTTATTAAATATTAAAATAATTATTTAATTTCATTAATTGTAAGATTTGACATATTTTGTTTTTAAAACTTATTGTTTCTTCCATGTGATTTAAGAAAATGGCAATATGAATAAGCATTAAAGCATTAAGGAATTATAAATTGTTTTTTATATAAACTTCCCTCTTACATACTCTTTCAGTACATGACATTACTAAAATATTGAATTAGCATACATATACGTAAGTTTGCAACTGTAAATATACTACGTGGTTATGTGAAGCTGGGAATTTGCTTTACGGTGTGTTCAAATACAAAATCTTAGCTATCTCCACTGAGATCTATAGACCGTAATTTGACTTTGCTCAGACTTTACTTTCGAGCTATGAGAATGTCGGTATTTATTATTAGTAGTATAGTTGTAGCACGTATGGGTCGGCTCGTCCGGGGAAGGACCACGCTCTCATAGAATACCAACATCAAATAGCAGCTTTACACTGCTGTGTTTCGTATGGTGAGTGTAGAGAACCGGAGACCCTTTTTACTGGAAAAGAGGCATTTCATCTTAGTCCTCACGGGTGACAACGCATCTGCATTTTGATTCGCAAACGAGGATAAATGTAGATGTCTATGGGTCACAGCAACCACTTACCATCAGGTGGACTGTGTACTCGTTTGTTACCCTATCCTATATAAAAAAACTTATTTAGTTTTTATAATATTTTTTTTTTGATTTTGCATTCTTCTCATTCGTTCCCGTTCTTGTACGCCCGTTTTCAAAGTTTATGTAATTTTAACTTATTTATTAATTAAAATTTAGGCTGTGTTCGATTTTTAAATATATATTTTTTAAATTTTATACAGTAAAATCAAGAACATATGTGTGGAATGAAGCATCCGTTATTATTTTGACTGTCTGGGCTTTAGCATAAGCTTAGCTTAATCTTAGTCCGATACAACTATAAATTCAGAATTAAAGGTTAAGCTAAGCATATACTCAGCTAAGCTAAGTAAAGTCTGAGCTAAGTCAACGTTATTTAGTGTGTGAGAGTTTACTTCATCAACGTGACCTAAATATTGTATAAATACGTAATTGTGTAGTCCAGGTCAGGGGTCGGCAACCTGCGACTCGCGAGCCACGTGCGGCTCTTTGGATGTGAAGCTGCGGCTCTTTAGTTTCAAAAAAACATTTAAAAATCGATCCACACTGAGCCATTTGGAGTTGATACTGGATCTCTAGACATGCAATTGATCGATTTAAAAAGTAAAGCTTTGTGAAGTTAAAAATCTACAGAGTTGAAAATCAATTTGAAATAGTTGGAGGTCCAGAAATGAATGTAGTAACGCAACAAAAATGAACAGCTTTAAAAGAAATGGCTCGAGTTGAGGCACATATATTCAACGCATGGAATAGTCATCCGGATTTATATTCTATATTATTCCGGATATATATATGGAAAATAAAGATTATTATTATTATATATATGAATGACAAGCTCGTGGAAACTGTCCATGCGGTCGAAGCTAAGTTCTGCAAGACCCGCCGCAGAAGAACACAAAAACTCCAATCACACTCCTAATCTCATGGCTGTTAGATGGGAGATGAAGCAACATTCTTCAATAGATTTGACAGCATACAGGCAACTGAACAGACAGATCTCCAAATGCGTGCGACGGGACTTACGCAGCTTCATTACAGCTTGTATCGAAGAAGCAATCGAGCGGAACCAAGGCTCCAAAGTCTTTGCCAGAGAGAGACAACTGTCAAAGCTGAAGACCGAGTGTGGCAACATCGTTTCCGGGACACCTGATATTTTGAATGACATGGAGAGGTTCTATGGGCAGCTGTACACGTCATCGTTGGAGCCACACGCAAGTGTGAGTAACGATCCAAGAGCGAGTCTTATCCGATACTATTCCGAAGATATCCCGGACGTCAGTCTGATCGAGACTAGAATGGCTTTCCAGCACCTTAAAAATAGCAGAGCCCCAGGTGAGGATGGAATTACAGCGAAGCTTTTGAAAGCGGGTGGAAAGCCGGTACTTGAAGTCCTTCAGAAGCTCTTTAATTCCGTCCTCCTTCGTGGCACTACTCCGGAGGCGTGGAGCAGAAGTGCGGTGGTCATGTTCTTCAAGAAAGGCGACAATGCTCTCTTGAAGAACTACAGACCGACTTCCCTTCTGAGCCGCGTCTACGTGCTGTTTTCGAGAGTCATTACGAATCGTCTCGCACGCAGACTTGACGACTTCCAGCCTACCGAACAAGCCGGATTCCGAAAAGGCTTTAGTACCATAGACCACATACATAGGTACCCTTCGGCAAATTGTACAGAAGACAGAGGAGTATAATCTACCACTTTGCCTTGCGTATGTGGACTATGAGAAAGCCTTTGATTCCGTCTAAATTTGGGCGGTGCTACAGTCCCTTCAGCGGTGCCAAGTTGACTGTCGGTATATCGAAGTGCTGAAGTGTTTGTACAGTAGAGCTATGATGGCTATCCGAGTACAGAATCAGAGTACGAAACCTATCCAACTGCAGAGAGGTGTAAGACAGGGTGACGTTATATCCCCGAAACTCTTCACCGCTGCATTGGAAGACGTTTTCAAGCTACTGCACTGGAAATGATGCGGTATTAACATCAATGGCGAGTACATCACTCACCTTCGATTTGCCGACGATATAGTCCTTATGGCTGAATCGCTGGAGGACCTAAGCATTATGCTCAATGATCTCAATAGTGTCTCTCAACGGATAGGTCTTAGATGAACATGGATATAACAAAAATCATGTTTAACGTCCATGTCACACCTATGCCGGTAGTTGTTGGGAGCACTAAGCTCGAAGTTGTTGACGAGTATGTTTACCTGGGATAAATAGTCCGACTAGGTAAGTCCAACTTCGACCGAGAGGTCAATCGACGGATTCAACTCGGCTGGGCAGCGTTCGGGAAACTACGACACATCTTCTCGTTAGACATACCTCAAAACCTAAAAACGAAATTGTACAACCAGTGCGTGTTGCCAGTGATGACTTACGGATCTGAGACGTGGTCCTTCACTGCTGGCCGTATGAGGAAGCTCAAGGTCGCTCAGCGAGCTATGGAGAGGGCTATGCTCGGGGTGTCTCTGCGTGATAAACTTGAAATGAGGATATCCGCAGTAGAACCAGAGTATCTGACATAGCCCAACGGATTAGTAAGCTGAAGTAGCAGTGGGTTGGCCATATAGCTCGAAGGACCGACAACCGATGGGGACGAAAGGTTCTCGAGTGGCAGCCTCGTACCGGTAGGGGAAGTGTAGGGCGACCCCCCACTAGATGGAGTGACGACCTGGTAAGACATGCTGGAAGTCGATGGATGCAGGTGGCCTAGGACCGTGCTTTGTGGCATTCCTTGGGGGAGGCCTATGTTCAGCAGTAGACTTGTGAAAGGCTGTTAGTTTTTTTTATCAAGAAACTTAACTCGTGGAAGTATTATTTATTGTTGGCAAGAAAAAAAATTGTGGCTCTAAAAACTGAAATTTTGTAAATTGTAATTTTTGGCTCTTCCGACTCAAAAGGTTGCCGAATCCTGGTCTAGGTGATATTAAAGTATAGTATTTTTCTTGCACTTCACGAAGTCGAGCGGACTTTGCTTCTGGAAACACATATCTGTATACGTGTCAAAGTATACAGATATGTGTTAACAGTTAAAAAGCGACGGCTCGCTCACATAGGCTTGGGTAAAAATATCGATATTTTCTCACAAAATCATCGATATATATATTGGCGATTATTTTATTTCGCGATATATCAATATTCGATAATTATTTCATAGTATCAAATTCGTATCTATTCCGATATTTCTGGTGTATAAAAATCAATTGCTGTCCGTTAGTCTCGCTAAAACTAGAAACTGTATCGACCGATTCTGATGAAATGTTTTGTGTGTTTGATCCCAGAACGGCTTAGATTCAAAATTGGAACCGGTAGGTGAACTTGTTGTCAAGATCCAGAAATCACCCGAGTGAAGCCGGGGCGGATCGCTAGTATTTTTTAAAGGTACTGGTTTCGTATTTAATGTTACCAGATACTCCTATTACGATGTACTGGCGGTGTAAGAGTATCCACTGCCCCATATCGTCTCGTGAGTGTCGTAAGAAGCGACACAGGGAAACTGATCCGTCCAATTACAGGCCTATCGCCATCACCTCTTTGTTCTCCAAAATAATGGAAATCATCGTAAACTTTGAATAAAACTATTTTTTCACAGATTTTATCGCGGTTAAGTTACTATTTTAATTTACCGACGTTTTGGGTGTTGAGATGTTTATAGAGAATTCTCTATTGAAATGAGGATGTTTTGGATGAATTGATGGATGGATGCTGCCATCTGCTTGGGATCCTAAAATTAACAAAATTAAATCCAAACCCAAGTATACCACTGCAAGACAAGCTGTAAAGCACCCGAAATGGGGGGAATTATAATAGTAAATTAAACGCGATGAAATCCGTAAAAATTAGTTTTAATCAATGTGTAGTGTTCGCGTAAATATAAGAAATCATTACTATCATAAACTGCCAGCTCATGAGGTACCTTGAGGATTACCAGCTGATTAGTGACCACCAGTAGGGTTTCCGTCGAGGTGGCTCAGCTGATCTCCTGGCTTACCTAACTCATTGATGGGCGGATAGAATTCAAGGGGGATCCTGGCCATTAGGTTGGACACTGCGAAGGCTTTCGATCGGGTTTGGCACAAAGCGCTTCTTTTTTTTTGTCAAATTTCACCCATGCACATCGCGTCCAAACTCACGTTACCATCCACATTATTTGGACGCTTAGCGAACCACTACTGTGCGATTTCTAGGAGTTTTCTTCCTGATAAGACTCCTTTGTGGTATTGTTTACCGCCGGCGATTTTTCCGGACAAATACGACCTAAGGACCTTCAAAAAACGACCTAACTCCTTTTCAAAATGCCAGCAAGGCACCTGCAATTCCACGGGTGTTGCAATTGTTCATAGACTGGCGGTGGACACTTACCATCAGGTGAGGAGCATGCTCGTTTGCCCCCTTTTTTATAGAAAAGAAATCTGAAACAGGAGATGGGCAGCAGAATCTTCATAATACATCACAAAATAATAAAAACTATGGTTGCTAAACCCGCCTGCCAAGCCTAG